AAAATTTGCAATTCTTTACCATAATATTACAAAAAAAAAAAAAAAGCAATAAAATTAATACTCAAACCCCATTACTTTCAAAGCACGCAAGCTCAGAATCATCTACAAATAATCAACGACTTACCTGTATGGGAGTGTTCCTCTCTGTGGGAGGGATCATATCTGGGGACAACACTTGTGGAGGATCAATCCCTTTACTGACCTTCTGTTGAATGAGATACATTGCTAGTGCAAACTGATCTTTGCTTAGCTTTCCCATCTGTCTTGTGTCTGCCAAAGCCCTGGGAAAAAATAGATCATACTTATAAACAAGAAAAGCTTATTTCTCCTCTACCAAGAAGCCCGAAATACACATATACCCGTAATTTTCTTCTGATTCAGCCTCATCAGAGCTCTCTTATTCTAGTGAAAAAGTACCATAAACAGAGCAGTATTTTATTAGACATATTTAACTGAATAGAACAGCGTTACTCTAAGAAAATATTTAGAGCACTAGAACTTCAAAGAACAATCACAACTCACAGACTGACCTATACCCTGTTCCCAGAAAAGCAAAGTGAGTATTTATTTCTCCCTTGTTTTTCCATATAGCCCACATATTGTAGTACAGCAACAGGACAAGCCAAAGAGGTTGGGTTTTTTTGTTGGGGTCTTTTTTTAGTGTTAGGATCACAATTCTGGCTGGATAATCTGACTTCCCAGATCAGCAAGTTACAAAAATACAGCTACTAGGGAATTCTTACCATATATGTGCTAGGAGATTCTGAGACAGACCTGAATGCATAAAAATGTCCTTTACTTCTTGGCCACTCACAAACCCATCCATGTCTGTGTCTGTTTTTAAGAAAATTTCATCGTATCGCACTTTTTCAGACGTTGGTACTACCCAATTCACAGATGGCTGTAAAACAAAGTTTTATATTTCAAAAGAAGATAGACAGTCTTTATCAACACACTGAGTATATACGACATTATTCAGCGTCAGATGTGCTGAACATCTCACACAATCAAACCTGATTGGTAAACAGGTAGTTCCCCTTTTCCCATGAATATTTTTGCTTAATACTTTTTATCTGAATTATAAATACTGATAAACAGCTATTTATCAGTTGAAAAACATTCATTCTTTGGAAATACAGACCCAACTAGGCATACTAAGCCCTGAGGCTAATAACACAGGAGCTTTAGAAGGTAGATTAATGATTTCTTTGGTACTAAAGCAGATACATGAACAAAACCTTTCTATGCTTTCACTGTCTATGGAGAGTGAAAATTCCCCATAAGATTTGCTACCTCATGGTCACTCTGACTAAAATTCATCTGCTCTTCTTCTGTTCTTCCAAATCTTACCATTCTCATTTCATTCCCTCCATCCAAATCACCCACCAACAAGCACGTTTTCAGAAAAGTGCTCACGTGAGGCAGAAATCAAAAAGTGGTTTTATTTTTTCCTGCAGTTTACCAGGAAAAACAGGAAAGAAAAACAGGAAAGAAAAACAGGAAAGAAAAACAGGAAAGAAAAACAGGAAAGAAAAACAGGAAAGAAAAACAGGAAAGAAAAACAGGAAGGGTGGGGGATGGAATTTGTACCTGTGCTTGTTTGATGCTGTGCTTGGGAGACAAACTCCCTGTGCTGTTCAGACTGTTGACACTACCATGAGACGGGGTAGAACGGAGGCTATCTTTTGGTGGAGGACTTGCAGGGAGAACAGGAACTGCACCAGGAAAGACAGGTGTCTTCTTTCTTTTAGAAGGTGGTATGAGAGAAGGGGGTAATAGTGAAGGAACTGGCTCTTTCTCAAGAGCTCTATAAACCAAATGCATTGCCTGCAAAGGCAAAAAGGTCAGATAATGTTAACAATTAGAAGAAAAGGCAACAAGATTTTCCAGCATCAGTCACCTACATATTAGTAAAACAAAGACAGCAAGATTAGAGATGTAAATCAGAGCAGATCACTTTGAATGTAATTCCAAAAAGCTTAATCTTGATGACACAGGCAAGAGTCAGCAGATGGCTTTGACCAAGATCATTTAATAGCTCCATATGACCCATTCAGATTAGAACAGTCAACCGTAGCAGAGAAAGCTGCAAAGCTCTTGAGAAAAAACTAAGCAGTTTGCTCTAGCAGACACACTGCGAATCGAGAATGTAAGGCAACCTACCACAGCAAATTCGTCCTTGTCCAGGTGACCATCTTTATCAATATCACTGAGATCCCAGACCTACAGCAATTATGATAAAAACAATGATTTAGAGAATAAGTCACATTTTGTGTTTTTGATGTCAATCGTCATCATATTAAGTACACTCTCTAAAGACTCCTAACAGATTTTTGTGAAGATCACATTAGTTATATTAGACCTAGCTAAACAGGCTCTGATGAAACAGACTGGATTAGTTTTCTGGCAACATGAACCAACACTGGCTTTAACAAAATCTGGATGCAACACAGGCAAGTTTTTCATCTTTCTATGTTGCAATTAAGGAGTCATCAAGCTGACTGAAAACATCCAGAGGTCGCTTTCAGAATTGTCCAGAGGGTATGTGCTAGCAGATTGTCCAAACTTGTCTTGTAAGAAAGTCAGAATATTTCAGAAAAGTCAATACATTTCTAATTTGCGTTCCATTCCTAAATTTCTAGTTTTCATTTTTAGTCAAAAAATATACATCCACCCCCCAGAATTTTCTACATGAGAGAATTTAAGCATCTATCAACTTTAGTTCGTTATTAGGCCAAGTACAGTCAATGAAACTGGCAGGAGATTTAGAAGGATACAAAATTTTGTGTACTCTAATACTCAGCCATCAGCTAACACTGTTTAACCATCAATACAGCTTGGGAGACAGTATAGCAGAGTGGACAGAATGCTAAGGCTGAGGCTCAATCATCTGAACTCTACTCCTAGCTTTATCACTGGACCCCTGTACAAATTTAAGCCAATTGATTTATCTTCTTTGTCCATTTCCTCAGTCCCCTATCTTGTCCGCAAACTGTTCTGGAACAGGAAGCAGCTTCCTGCATTTCTATCACGACAATAACAAAATAAAATGCAAAGCCTTTCAAGACTGAGTACTTCACAACATCCAAGCACAGAATTCAAACAAGTCATACTTAGATTTTTGTAGATAATATATAGAGAGAGGCAGTTCCTCCTGAAGAGATGAAAGTATATAATGCAGGTACAGCTCTTACATAGAATGTATTCATTCTCAGTCATATCAGTATGTAAAACATTAAAGAATACATTATTTTAAATACTTTAAGGTTTGCTTCTTTTGCAAATACGCAATGGATGCATTAAACTCAGATCTCAGAAGTATTTATAAATATATATGAAAAAAAATACTTGACAATTTGACAGCTGCAATAAACTGTGTTCTCTTGTACAAACAGTGGACAGATTTAATGGCATGTCTAATAACTTGTATTTGGAAAAATGACAAAACAGTGCAATAGAATGTTATAAAAGCTATTACAGTTTAGGAGAGCCTTTTCTTGTTTTTAAACAACTGAAATCAAAATTTCCAGCTCTTAAAATGAATACAGAGATAATGAAGCCAATCTACTCTAGGGCCCAAATTACTACTATTATTCTTATTTCTAAGTGGAAGACTTCAGAGCGTACTTAATGTTCTTGCTATATAGCATGCACTTGATGTAAAATCTCAGCCAAAGCCTGATCTATGTTGATAAGTTACATTCAAGTATTTAACATTGCAACTACAAGAAGCTAAACAGAGAATAGCTAAGTCTAAACAGCATACTTACCCTTCCTAGGATATCAAGAGGTAGCTTTGAATTCATCAGTACTGGTTTTACTTTGTCTCCTGAAAGTAAACCATTTACTGGCAAAAGGCTTTCAAAAATACCATCAAACTTTGCTTTTTCTTCCACCTAGTTGGTAAGAAATAGCCTGAATAAGTAAAAAAGTGTGCCTGTGTGAGTGTTGAAAATGAGATCTTGCAAGAAATTAAGACTGGTCAGTAATGTATTCATTCTAAATTTCCAAGCTTTCTTGCAAGTGCCACCATGCTGTATTTAAATCTAAACCCCATGGAGCTAGATTTAGGAGCTTAATTTCAAAGCTAAGGTTATGATAGCTAGGAGATTTTAATATGCACCATATGAGATGTGTTTCTGTAGTGTTCTAAAAGGACAATGCATTCTGATTAAAACACTGCTGGCCAGGTTTTAAACAAACTTTGACAAACTCTGTAGAACTAAAAACTATTCTTCCCAAATAAGTTGCATCCCACTTCAAAGTACAACATGCAAGTTAAAAAAATATATCAGCATTAGAAGTTATTTTATTCAATTTCTACCTTTTGGAAAATGTTTGCATTTGAAAATTAACTAAATACAAATATTCCCATGTATGTCTCAAAAGTTACTTTTTTCCAATGATATATATTGTGTGTATCACTGAAAACTAATTAGAACATACGATCTCAAGCTTTAAATTAATACTTCAGGATGGATTTGGTGAAATACTTTGCTGTTGTCAGTGGGGTTCCTTTATACAAACATGAAAGTGCCTACTATTAGGATTCTGGAAGAAATCCAGGCAGAAGATTAAAATCCGTTGTGTCTTAAAAACATCACACCAGGGGTTGTCAAAGGCTTGTTTAATACTTATTTCAAGCATAAAACTACAGCTCAATGTTCTCTATTGTGCACAAGTCTGTCATCAGAAAGGGAGGACTTTTGAAATGGGAAATACATTTGATACAAAATTCTCTCACTGGGAAAATTACAGACAAGGAAAATATTTACTTTTAAAGAATGGATGGAATGTGTTGTCTTTTACACTTACCCTAACAGCCCAGTGAGTCTCTGTTGAAGGTGGTGTGATCAGCAAAGGACTGCTAGTGTCATGCTAAAATTAAAGAATTTTTTATTTATATGTATATATGTGTATATATATATATATAAACACACATACATCTTCCATCTTTAATCCTTACTAATTCCTTTAAGAGATGGTTATAGACATGAAGCTTAACTACCCTGAAAAAAAGAAAAAAGGCTGCACACGTACCCAAATAAAAAAATAAGTCGTACTGATTTATACTATTACAGTACTTTGATAAGGACATTAGGTGTATTAGGTACCCAAACACAGAACTAAGACAAGCTAAAGGAGGTTCCACAGCAGCTACTGCAGGCAAAGCTGCAGTCATGCCCTTTACTACACACTCCTGTTGACCTAGCCCAAAAATAATCTTTTTTTTTCTTTTCTTTTCTTTTTTCATAAATTTAGAGTTTAGCCACATCAGCTTCCGGAACAAGCTGACTGTAGTTAAACTTGCATCAGTTTTGCAGTTCAGGAAGGGGCTGGTACGTACTACTCAGGAAGACAGAACTACAGCAGCCATGACTGCATTTGTCTTAAGGAACAGTTTGATAGCAACCTGAAGTCTCAGAACCACGACATTTATGAAACAGAAGATTATTTCAGCGTTCCAACGGCCTTAGTTCTCAGATAATACCTACGTACATTTAGGTATACGTTACTTACAAATTTAGGAGGTGGCACAGTCAAGTTCAGACTGCTCAGGTTAACATCATGGCCATTCTGTGCACACGCTACGAGGCGCAACGCGACATAGAAACCCTACAAACAATAGTGTTTTCTATTAAAAAAAGCAACCAGTCTAAATCACTGTCTCCAATAACCCCCTTATGATTTTTACTAACACTGTACATGTGCAACCCAGTAAAGTATGGAAACAATAGATCTATAGCCCCGTCAGTTAAAACCGCATAGTGACAACTACCCTACTGCTTTTACAGATGATTCAGGAAAAACTTTACAATAGCATGGAACAAAGAGCAGAAAACTTCAAAGCTAGTTTTTAAGAAGGACTCTCCCATAATTAAGTAAATTTCAAAAATTTTTCTTAAAAATTAATAGGGTTTTAAAAAAAAATTCTCCATCTCTACACATAACTTGGTATTTGATATTCCAAGCCATTTTTAGAAATGCTAGTTGTATTTTTTCATGCAAGAAAGACTTCTAAAATAAATCTTAAAAGCATAGTTTGGATTTGTGAAAAACTCAATGACTATGCATCTACATATCACACACACAGATTATTTACAAAACAAAAGAGGGACAGAAAATTAGATCCAAACTTCTCCAGCAGCCCCACTGAGTAATATACTTGGATGTGAGCAGTGCTAGGAAAAAAACTCTCATGTTGTAATCGAAAACTTCAAAAAACTTACTTACAGAAGAAAAAACTTACGTAGTAGATAACTACTACGGATATCAGGGTTTTCTTGAAAGAAGGCTAATATGTGGAAGGTAACAGGAGAGGTCTACAGGCACATTTCATTTACCTGTTTATCCAAGTATCCTTTACCCTCCGGGTCAGCCAAATCCCATATCTGTGGAGATACAAAATAAAAGCCATTGTGATTTTAAAATAAAACTTAACTCAGCTCAACAGTTCATGTTGTATACCTTCTTGAACTGTGCGTTGCAGCTTTCAAGCTATAACATACAATGTTATTTAATTCTCAAGTTAACAACAAAAATGTTACACAAAAGGCAGTTTTTCCTTTTAGATTCCTATGAAAGTCAGAACAATACCTTGGAGCTACTACCAATCTGTGGTTAACCTAATGTTCAACGGATCTGATTTGCATTCCACCAAATTCCTTCTTGCAAACCCCTTCTGCTCAATGTTAGCTGCACTTAAGCGAGTGTACAGATAATTGCTGCATTAGCTAGTTCCTTCAACTTACTTTTCCAAGGATAATATCAGAGAGACCGGATTTTTTAAGAAACAGCGCAGCTTCGCTTGCCCCAACTCTCCCCGTATATGCTGGATCTACCTGAAAGATAAAAATTCACATTCAGTTGAAGCATGTCTGTCGTAAAAGCAGAGATAAGAAATGAAACGCCTCTTGCCTCTAGGTCAAAAGGAGTTATACAAGCACGCATTACCACTCAGCAGAGAGAATTTACAGAAGTTTAGCACTGCAATGGGGAAAGGAAAGAGAGGGAAATCTTGGGGAAGAGGAAACTGCACTTTTAAAAAAGATTTTTTTGAAGAACCTACCTGTTTGTAGTAAGTTTCGTATAATGGATTCCCAGCAGAAAACTGAAAAACAAGAGAGATGTCAAGAAAACAAAGAAAGAACTGCAATCACAGATAGCCCACCTTTAGGGATGGACAGAAAAAATAAGCATATAGTACTTCTATCAAAAATATAAAACGGTATGTTAATTTGCTGTGTTCCAAACCGGATACTTGAAATCTAAGTGTGGATTAACAGAGATCCCCCAAAATTTGCAGCCGTGAGACTCCTGTCACCTCTTAAAACTTCTTACTCACCAGCATTCATACTTACTCACACTTTTAATTAACAACACTAGATGTAATAAGGTTTTGTACAACAGCTTTGAACTATTTGCCAAGGTATTTCAGGTCACAGTTTGAGAACTACTGATCTCAAAGGCAGAGTTTTCAACATAATGCGGACTTGACTACCTCCCGCATTGTGTATGTACTTATGGAATATTTTCAGCAGACAATTATATACACAGACACAGAGCCCTGCTATCAAAGTATGTCTGTGTTTATGCGTTTTCAGCACTAGATCTTAAACTGAAACAGAGTTAAAAAAAAAAAAATAGAATGAATGGTTAATTAACAAATGTCACAATTCCCTGACAATGTTGTTTGAGGTTTTCAACTTGGTGTTAACACTGCATTACACAAAAGCAGCAGACACAAAGGGAGGCCCTGCCTTTTCGGGATACTAAACAAGCAGATTCCTCTTCCCTCTTGCTGACATTCCAAGCAAATGGGAACTGAAATGCCAAAAGAGGCAGAAACCCCAACACCCATCTTCTCAGTTGCCTCCTGCAATTGTCATGCAAGTTCTAGCCATGTGCAGCTTATACCTGCACACCGTTCTCCAGCCTCAATGCCAAGAGCAAACACATTACAATCCAGTCTTAAGCAAGTCACCCCTTAGAGCAGTCAAAGGCCTTAAAAAACAAGTACCAAAACAACCCAATAAACACAGTTTAATAACTGAGACGCAGAGATGTTGAAACATCGTAAAGCCTGCTTGGGACAACTGCTCTCCACCTACAGGACACAAGTCAGACATCTGACGAATGATTATTTTGCACTAACTCTGATCACTGGTATGCCACCTCCCAAATGCTGCCTTCTTCCTTGTCATCCACGTGGATTTCTGGATGCTCTGCCTACACTGAGGGGAAGGAAGACAGAAATACGATGAAAGAAAAGACCGATGAAGAGCATGAAATTTTCTTTTACACAAAGAGAATCTTCCTGTAAGTCCACAATAAACATGCCAAATCTTAACTTAAGGAGATATCCAAAATAATTAAACCCTATTAATCAAAACAAGCGAACACCGAGCTCTTTCAAGATCAATTGCTCTACTTGGCTAGAAAGATCATGCATTTTCAGAAAAGCTTCCTAAACATCTTAATTGTACTTCACTCATATCCATCAACAAAATAAGCCACTGCATTCTCCACCAGTACACTCCAGAAGCTCTGGGTCTTCCAGAAGGTGGACAGGAGTTCAGAAGAAAGCTGCAACCATAACTCATAAATCTGACTCATCTTTTTGCTGGCTTGTAAACGATCAGCATAGATAAGCACTTTGTTCCTGTCCAAAGTTGGAAACATCATTCAGAGAAAAGGTGGAAGTAGGAAATTGTCCAACTCTGAACAAAATCTAGTATGCTTTAGCCAACTATCACCCAACCACATACCTCTCATTTATCAGAAGGCTCAGAGAAGCTAGCCAAAGACCAGCTACAAGCTCCTCTAACTAATTTGGCGAGTATCCTAGAGCACGCAGAGACTGGATTCATACCAAGATACAGAGCAAACTGCTCCAGCAGCAGTACTGAATGATCTCATCCCATCACCAGACATTCTTGTCATCCTCATTTGATATTGTCAGCCATGACATACAGCTGACTTACCTGACAGAAGTGGCAGGAATCCAGGGTGACGTGCTTAAATGCCGTGAAGTTTCTTCTACAGCAATATATTCATCCAAGTGCTGCTGGAAAGCACTTCATCACTCTACTCTCTACTTGCAGAATTTGACAAAGATTAAGCCTCCCTGACCGATTTACCTAAATGGCTGCATCTCTGTGATGAAGCAGACCAGACAAAATGGGCTCAAGTGATAAAAATAGCATAGCTGCCTATCTACCCGTCACCACATGTGACTACATCACTATCATTCAGGATGATTCTGTAATTTGATGACATCTGCTGATGAAGAACCTACACAAGACAGTGTCAATGCTGGCAACCAGAGAAAAACATTTTGAAGAGTTTGCAGCCGATGAGTGGTCAAAGGATATAACCTGTTACACAGCAGTTCAGCTGGACTTACAATTTAACAACCCTCTGGTTTCTATGCCTACTCCACATTCCCCAAAACGTCACCTATGACCAACACTTTACACCGTCTCCCAAAACGACACTTCAGAACCCTGGTGCCTTGTTTGATCTCTAAGTTGACTTCCTGTACAAATTTAAAGTTTGAGTCTTGCATTTGCACTCTCACAGCAGATCTGGTACACTGCATTTGTGGTACGCAGTACACGCACATGGATACGTCTCCACGTCCCTTAACACAAGTCTGGGAAAAAGGCAGGAGTAAGCTGCTGCCACCAGAACAATTAATAAAGCCAGTTCCTAGCAGCCCTCTTTCCTGAGGTCATCTCAGGGCCACAAAGAACTCTGGATCAGGTGAATTTTTTTCCTTGGTGTCCTCTTGTTTCACAATTTTCTTTCAGCCACTCTTGTCACATCATATGATGGATGAAAATAGGTACTGTGAAAGGGGGAAAACCAAGGTGTTCCACAAAGATGAGAGCCAAAAAAAGGTTGCTGCTGCCCCAGAAAGATTACCTTTGCCTTTACTCTACTTGCCAAGTATCCTGAGTTGTCTCAGAAGACCGAGCTACAAAACAATCTGCGCTGTCCCAATACCTCTAACATAACTCTCCATGACCTCCAGAGGCTGTAGGCTGAACACGCCTGGCACAGTGGAAAGACCACTGATAAGGTGATCAAATACTCAAGAAAATAGTTATCAAAGATAAAGCAAATCCAGTTTCAGTTGTTTAACTCCAAGAACTGATTTTACATGCTTGATCTTCGACTGTTTTTATGCATAGCCAGTTGAAACAAAGACAGATGAAACCTGTTAAATAGTTTGCATACTGTTAGACATCTAAATTCTCTTCCATAACATCGTAAAAACATAACTTCATAGAACAAAAGAACCATAATGAAATTCATTTATGAGAACAAATATAATTAAACACTTTCACATGCTTGAATTACCCATATTCTTTATAGCTCCTAATATGTTGACATCAACATTCTTATTTCCTATCTTTCTGAGTGAACATGCTTCAACGTTACAGCGCATGTAACCCCTCCTATTCCTTTTAATACCATTTCTGGCATTTCTGCATAACTAGAACATCTCTCTGTAGTAATCAGGAAATTGAGGCTCTTAAAAGAGGAAGTTTATGAATTTCCAGGGAAATTCTGTTTACTGCCCTGATTACAGCTAGATTACTCTTGACAGTTCAATAGAGAAAAAGAAGTTTTTATACTAGAATGCTTCAATTGAATTAGCTGGAAAATAATACGTCAAAATAACCAATGTGTCACAGAAGGCGGCCCTTTTTCCCTCATCATAATATATTATGAATACAAAAGAAAATATCATTAATGCCAGTCTCTCAAATATCAATTAGAATTTACACAACACAGAAGCAGGATTTCTAGTATAATAAGTATTTGAGACATTTTTACCAACGTACTACAGAAGTTCCAGAACAACAAACTCTTTCAAGTCCAGAGTTTATTTTGCACCACGTTACTTCACTTGAAAACTTTTGGTAACAGTTTGTATGTGCATGGATGTTTTCAGATGCTTCTGAACACGTTCATTTAATTAAACAGATGTTAATCAGGACTCCTACTGCTATTCAGAAGCTAAAAAGCAGCGCGCTCTGGTAAGACGCACAGCAAATCACATACTACCCAAGCATCATGTAACTCCACTGAAAGATAAATTTTCAGTTTCACAAATAAAAGTCCATTATTAAAAGGAAATCGATACAGTTAAATAATCTGAACTACCGATAGCAGTTGTTCTGAATTCCTGACTGGCCTAGCCACAGTGTAGAAAACAGTTTTAATTTCAAGGGACTGGGGGTGGTGGGGTGGTGTTACTTTTTTTTTTGTTTTAAAAGGAAATAAGTAAACTATCTTTACCGGAGTACGGGAAAGAACAAACAGTGATCACACTGTTCGGGTTTAAATTATTTGGGTGAGAAATTAATCAAAAACAACTTGTAACAACAACAACAACAGTCTTCTCAAGGATCCCAAACATTAAACCAGAGCTGGAAACACCGCCTCTCCCAGAGGCACGCTATCCTTGTGCGAGACAAGCTCCAAGGTTCAGGGTCTTCCACTCCCCTGCAGCAGCCTCATTCTCCTCCTGATGGGGGAAAACCTCCCTTTCATTCCTACGTACCGACTCCTTTCCTGGTGTACCCGCGCCTACGACTACCCTACTCCTGCACCTCCCGAGTATTCAGCAGAGTCACGACACCCCAACAGCTAAAGGCGGCATTAGCCCCTGTTACACAAGGAAAACGGGGTGACGTGACCAAAGGCAGAGCCCCGTCCCTCCCGCAGCCCAGCCCCGGACCTCCGACCACCGGACCGCATTCGTCCCCGCAGCTCAAACCGGGGAGCTGCAGCTCGGGGTGGGGAAGCCTTCGGAAAGCCTCGGTGCTGCCCTGCCCCTTCCCCAGGGGGGGCAGCTCCGGGGCCGCCGTGAGGGGAGGGCGCGGGGGCCTCCATGAAGGGAGGGCGCCAGCGCCTTTTGTGCCCCCACAGAAGCGGGCGGCGG